CTGCACCAAGGGCCCGAGTGACTGACTGCTTAGCAATTTGCAGCCTCACGGATGATAAGCATCTATTTGCACCAGTAAGTTGAAGTAAAAAAAAAAAAAACTGTAGCTGTTTGTTCTCGGAAACAGTAACTGAAGTCACAAATCATAAATAATAAAAGATAGAAAAATCTTCTTTTCACCTAATGGACTGAATGATTTCTTGCTTTGCGTTCCGGCTAATGGCCTCTCTCCCTTGGCACGACCGGAGCTGGCCCATTACAGGCAAGTCAGGCCGCGGCTCGCAAGCAGGACATGGTCCAACAGATCATTTATAAGGTGGCTGTTTGGAAGGCAGAATGTGCTTTCCCTGGAAACCATCATGCCGGGGTGACCGGTTTTCAGGTTCACTTGCTCAGTGCTTAACCCTCACTGTGCCTGATCTCAGTGGGGCAGGTTTCTGCAGCGCACAAGGGAGGAAACAAGTCAACTCTCTCCACCTGTAGCCCTGGCTCTGAGTACAATTTAAATGTAAGTCATCTTTCTTTTCCATCTCCCCAGCTCCCTTGTGGCATTCAGGTCCCCGGACTAACCCCCTGGATCACAGGGCCCTCCCCAGTCGCTGGGCCNCCCTGGATCACAGGGCCCTCCCCAATCGCTGGGTTGCTCTCCTGCTGGGAGACTCTTGACCACAAATCACCTGCCTGTTGGTCCCCACTTCCTGACCAACCAGGCTACCATCTCCTCCGCTCAGCTGATGCCAGCTTGGGGCTAGAGAAAAAGCCAGCTGAGCAGATACGCATTCAGACTAGCAGATGAATGACTGAAACCCTTCTAATTTATTCTCATGGTAAAACTCGCCAGCCGTGACCTTTGAGAGTCATTGTGGGCAGTAAGGTCTAAGGGGTGAGAAAAAGGGGGTTAAAAGTGCAGAATCTGCACACTCGTCGGCAGGACTCTGAGGCTGCTTGCTGCACCCGGCGTCCAGAGCACTGGCAGGCAGTCAGGAAAGAACCCTTCCTTGGGAAAAGCGGGATGGTCACGGGTTCAGACGATGGGTGACTGATCTCCCCTCAGTGAATGAGCTGGTTCTCTGGCCACCCCTGAGAACCCCCAGTGGGGAAACCACTTGCACACGCACAGAGCCACCCACCAGCTTTCTATGCCTCGTGATGAAATCCTAACAGGCAGCCCAGGATCGCCAGATGCTTCTGGGAAGTTCTAACATGAAAACAGAAAACAGACAAACAAACAACAGGAAACAGCCGAACAAAACTTCAGAAGTCGTATAGTTAATACCCAGAGAGAGATCGGAGAAGATACCTTACCCGCCGAAGGAGAAAAGCTGCAACGCGAGCAACCGCAGCAAGAAAGGGCTTCTGGCTATTAAAGAATACGCTGTTTGAAAAGAAATATTCAAAAGAAAAGAGAGAAGCTAACTGATGAAAACTTCGGAAAATAGTGCAAAACGATAGATGGAAAAATATGAAAGAAAAGAAAAATAGAGGAAAGTCCCACATCCAGCAACAAATGGAGGAAAGGAAATTGTCAAGAAATAGTACAAGAAAATTTCTTAGAATTTAAGCAGTTTGAGTGCAAAATGAAGAATTCCTGGTAATGAATGCAACGAATTGAATGAAAACCTAATGAGTACCTTTTAGGTTCCAGACACCTTGAGTGGAAGTTTTTACCCTTGAGCATCTCATAGTCTAGAAAGGGAGATATTTTAAGAACTAGGCTCCACTCACGTGACAAGGACAGTGACAGCAGATAGGCACAGGACAGTGACCTGGCAGAGGAGGGAGTTTTGTCCCGGGGGAGGCTGGGTTGGGGAGAGCGTTACTGCAGAGGTGATAACTGAACTAAAGAAGCCTCTCCGGATGTTGGAGGCCATTCAACCCACAGGCAGAGTCCAGAGTTACTCACTGGATGCCTAAAACTCGGTAAGGCCGGTGCTCTTACTATCTGTTGTACAAACCGGGGAGAGGTTCCTGAGAGGTAAAATAACCGATTCAGGTCGAGTGCTAACAGGTGGAGGCTCTAGGGTTCAAACACAGACCATCCTCTTAGCCCCCGGGCCACACTGCCTCTCGGGACAACTGGAGAAAGGCATTCAGTCAAAAGGCACAGCGCCCAGGAAAGCCCACTACCTCTCAGGCGCAGCAAGACGGGTGCGTCAGTGCTCTCAGAGGGTTTTAAGAACAGGTAGGGTATGAACACACTTTATGGAAGAACTGGGTTCAGGTAGGAGTGGATTTGAGCACTGCGGTCAAAGAACAAATGTTGAGGTTTCATTCCAGGATGAACAAACGAGGCTCAGGCAGGGGTGGGGAATGTCTGGCCCTCAGGCCATCGAGGCCTGGCCCGGCCAAGGCCACCGCAGGCGGGACTCGGAACTCAATAAACCTAGGAGCATTTTTCATAGCTAATTTTTAAAAATATATATCTTTATTGAGTTCAGAGAGAGGAAGGGAGAGAGAGAGAGAACCATCAATGATGAGAGAGTCGTCATTGATGGGCTGCCTCCTGCACGCCCCTGACTGGGGACCGAGCCCGCAACCCGGGCAATGTGCCCTGACCAGGAATCAAACCTCCATCTTCTGGATCCTAGGTCGATGCTCAGCTGCTGAGCCACGCCCAGCCAGGCTCATAGCTAATTTTTAAGTTGATAATTCTGCATGGCTCGAGAATGACGTTATAAATATCCAAATGGCCCTTGGCAGAGAAAAGGTTCCCCACCTTGGGGCTGAGGCAATCAACCGAGTTTCAAAGATCAAACGTCCACGGGGTTAAGGGCAGGGAAGACAGGAAGAGAAGGGCTGAGGTCATCAAGGTTGTGCGTGTGCGTGTGCGTCCGTCTTGGAGATTGGGAAGAGGAATTTGGATGGAGAGACACAAGTGTAGTAAAATGCGCTGAACTTCAGAAGAATAGAGGGTGCTCTGCAGCGGTGGGACAACGGCTTGGGCCGAAAAACAGGGCTTGGGGTGTATTTGAGTGAAGGCTGAGCGGTGAGAAGCGACCACCGGGAGGAAAGCTGCGGGCCCCTTCAGGGGAAGGTCTTGGAAGAGAGGCGGTGGGCGGAGGTGGGGGTCTGAGGGTCAGGGCTGTGATGGAGCAGGGCTTCCCGGGGTCCTCTGTAGGAACCGAGTGGAGAGCATGGGCGAGCCCGGGAAGATGAGCTGAGCTGGACAGGAGGAGGGCATGGGGCTCGTCCGCAGGCTGGCTGGGAGAGGGGGTGCCCACTAGGTCGCGCCTTGTCCTTGGCAGCACCCAGCTGATGAGCCAGCCTGACCAGGCACCACGCCCTGACGTCTGATGGGCGGTGGGATCGGGAGGGGCTGCAGAGCGGTGGGTCAGGGCATCCTCAGCTTCCATACACTCAGCCTCCCAGGGCCGGAGGCGGCCCGAGGGGTCGGAGCTCTCTCCTCTCCTCTCTTCTTGCAGATGGGAACCGCGCGGCTCGGGAAGGGTAGGAGGCCTACCCAAGGCCACTGCGCTACTGCAGTCCTCGTGTCCCCCGGGGACCTGCTCTGTTCCCCAGCCTCGCCCCGCCAGACGCGGAGGCACCGAGGGACGCCTCCGGGGCGAAGAGAAGCC